TCCAAAGTTGGCTTCCCAGCTGCTCCACGATATTATTTATCAGCTAAATGAACTGACAGTACTTTTGCAGGGAGAAAAAAAAAACAACAAACCAAAAAACCACACCACAAACAGGAAACAATTTACTGGTAATGAGCAGAGCGCTCTGGAAATGATAGCTGGAAGATGCACAGAAATTCAGCCCCAACCTTGGCCAGCCACAAGCCTGTGTTGTCCCCCTGTGCTCCCCAGCAGCAATACCCACCGTACGTATGTACATCCTTCAGCCCTAACTGATCCACTCCGTTGGTTGTCCCCACTTGCATTTGCAAGACCACGACCTCAACAGCAGCCCTGGAATAGTAGATCTCTTTAAATATATATTTCACCGAGTTAATGAACAAGTTCCTGCATCTGTTTCTCCCTGGCAGCTGCTCGCAGGGAGAATTTGCCTGCTCTGGTTTTTGTTTTTTAATTAAGGCTGGCTTGCTGCTTCTAGCTTCCGCTGGCTGAAGAGGTTCATGTCCTGCATGGCTCACCATCACTGGCAGCGCTCAGGCTTTCATGGCCACAGCGCTCCTCTTGGAAGGAAAAGACCTGCCAGAAAGACCCATGAGGTCTGTTGGACCCGGTGGGATAACAGCGTCCTTGCCCAAAGGCTCACCAGCACAGGCGTTGGGGTGGCGACGCAGCCCCCAGTTAGGGTGGGCAAGCCCAGCCCTTCCCAAGGAGAAGTCTCGCAGTCTCCATTTCTCCACCTGCCAGCGCAAATCCTTTGAGACATGTAAAAAGCAAGTTACTGCCCGTGTCCTCCACCTCCAGCAGCACTTTAGCTGTGCTCAACATCTCACCACCTTCTGAAGGCAAGAGCTACCAGGTGCCGATGAAGCCAGGCTTGAGCGCCATCCACACAGATTGTGCAGCTAGTACCGATGACAACCCTGCATCATGCAAGACTTGCTTGTGAGGAACCCAAAAGTGTTTTGTCACCCGCTTACAGAGCAGCAGGAGGTGGGGGCACCTCTACCATCAACCCAGAGCACTCATCACCTAGCCGGGGACACTGCTCATCTGCGGAGACAGTCTGCCCCGGTTTCAGAGCCCACAAGGACTAGACATAGCTCCCCAACCTTCTTCTAAGCGTCCATTCACTAGTGGCTTTTTCAATAGAAGAAGGAATTTATTATTTGTTCCTTTTCCTAGCTATGCCGTACGCCCTCAGCACATCTCCATGCCATCTCTGCTTCTCCAGCCACCACCCAAATCCCAGCCCCTGCTACCAGCACTGCCTACAGAAACGGTGTCGTCCCCAGCATTTGCCACCAGTGAGCTTCTCGGGTGCCAACTGAGAGTGTGGTCAGGAGATTTTTTTTCCCCTCCTCTTTGGGAGGAGAAGGAGTATAACTGCTTTAATAATACAGAAAAATCAACATTCCTCAGATTCATCTCAAAAACGTCTTTTGACATCACATTTTTATCCTATTTACAGTTCATTTAATCCTGCCTGTCCCTTTAAAGCCAGAGGGAAGTCACTTCTCAAGCAGTAACACTCAAGCAAGAAGAGCACCTTGAAAACATCCAAGTGGCATCACCTGAACCTTTTTTGTCCTGCTTCTGGGCAGCCAAAAGCACCCTGCCAAGCTGCTGGCAGTCACCATGGGGCTGGAGCTGTTTGGGCAGCAGGGGCCAGGTGCCCCCAACCATGACCTGCAGCCCCAGGCAGCAGCAGCAGCAGCGGTGATGGTGGTGGTGATGGTGGTGGGATGAGCTCTGCTGGCAGCAGGCACCCAAATTCCCCTGTGCACCCAGAGCTGCTGCTTCCTCCCCATTAAAAAAAATATTCTGCACGGCCCCCATTGCCTGAGCTGGGCATCTCCCTACAAGACCACAAAGCTCCGAGATGACAACTCCTGCCGGCTGTTACGAGCCCAACTGGCCCTCAGGGCTTACCAGGTGGTCCAGGGAGGGTAGTGAAGCCACCAGGTCACAGCACACATTTGGAGGGTGCTCCAAAGCAGCAGGGAGTCTTGCTGGCAACTTCAATGGAGGAACCAAAAGCATCATCCACAAGCAAGAGGAGAGTCCTTCTTAGCATCTACAGGAGGTTAAAGTCAAGTAGAGATGTCAGCCCCATGGGAACACCTCACTCAATAGGCCTGTGGCAGCAGGGACTCACAGTCCCACAGCAAACCAGTCCCTTCCCCAGGCCCTATCCCCTCGGAGAGATGCTCCCCAAGACGTCCAACCCCAAAGCCCACTCATGCAAGGATGGGGGAGACAGCAAGGAGCCAAGCCATGCTCCTTCTGCACTTTAACTTCTGAAGACAACACAGTCCCCCCAGTTTCTCTCATTTTAACAGCACCCCCAAAGGGAAACCACCACTTGGTGCCCAGCACAGCCCATATCCACCCTCAACATCTCCAAAAAGCACCCCCAAAGCCTAGAAGCACCCCCAAAGGCAGGGAGCAGGTTGTGCTCCAGCACAACCAAGGAAGGAAGCCTTACCTGCTCCCTCACCAAAAGCCATACTCACCCCCACCACAGCCCCGAGGCTATTTATGGACTCTGGATGAGCTGATGCAGCCCACCTGGCCACACACACAGTTCCCCACCATGGGACTCATCCAAAAGGCCACGGAGGGTGGAGAAAGCCAGCCTCAACCCAAAGCGCCCACTCCGCCGTGCACGTCACTACGGCCCACCATGTCCCCCGTACCGTAGTTTGGAAGGGACAGATTTGGGGTGGGAGAACAGAGACTTGGGCTGGGACCTGAAGAAACAAGGTTTTGGCAGCTGCTCTGCTCCTGGCACAGCTTGCTGGGATGACTGGTTTCATTTTTAACGGGGCCTCCCCTCCAGCGCGGCGGCAAGGGTAACTTCACCGCTCGCTGTGCAGGAGTAAGGAGACGAGCGGCGTGGTGCTGCCCTGGGCAGAGGCCCTCCTGCTCTCGCCAGAGAGGTTCAGCGACGCAGGAGGGGCTCTGCTATGTCAGATTTAAGTATTTGTAAAAAAAATTAAGCTTCTCCGATGTCACGGGTAGGTAATATGACCTCCCCGCAGCGGGAGACAAGCCTAGCGTGAGTAATTAACTGCTAACTGGTGTCACGCTGCAGCGGGTCCCACCTGGGGAGGATGGAGACGGCCTCCGGGCCGGATCCAGCGCCTGACCACCCGCATGGTCAAAACGTTTTTCCTCCCGTCCTGCTGCCGACCACCTCCAGGAGGGGTCTGGCTCCATCCGCTCCTGTGGGATGGCAAGGAGAACCCCCCGTGTCCGGCCCCTGCCCAGCGCAGAGGCACCATGCGGGACTTGCTCCAGCTCATCCCAGCCCTTCCAGTACTGGGGAGCCCAGACCGGGACCAGTCCCCGCCGTGCCGTGCCAAGGGGAAGACCCCCTCCCCTCGTACCGAAGAAACGTGGAAATAGAGGGGTCGTTACGACCACTGGTTTCATAATAGAGACCCAGGGGTCATCTAACCCTCGTTTTCCAGCGCTGAATCATCGCTTGAACTCAGACAGGAATTCCCCGAAGGTACGTGTGTAAAAGAAGAGAGCACATCACACCTAGCGTAATTTAATAGAGACGTTATTTACATTTATTTATAGCTGTGAAAAAAGTGCTTCAGAAAAAGATACTCCAGTGAAGGCAAGGTACAGTAACGCTAGCATCCAAGTCCTAGTATTTCATACATAAAGGGGCACTGTCAGATTAAGAAAAGCTGTTGTTTTACAATAGAACAAGTTAAAAACAAGTAGTTGTATGGTGAAGAGTAACTGGGCTTTTTTATATATATTTTATTTCATTATTGAACACTATCTGCATGCTCTGAAATTCTCAGAAACAAGAACTTTCTGTAATATTTAGACTGCAAAACACCTTGACTAAGATATTACATGAAGAAGGCTGGGAAGATTAGTTGGGGTTTTTTTGGTTTTCTTTTAAAAGCACTCCTAGATCCTCCATCCTCTCCTCCCAGTGAAATCAGATACCATTAAAAAAACCCCAAACCACAGAAAATTGGTCCCTGCACTACTCGAGTGCCTCTATGAACTGCTGTTACTTTAGCAAACATCTCAGGCTCAGCCCAATTAGATCACCCAACGTCAGTCCTACAGACAATGGTAGTTCACTTAGCGTACTTAACCATCAAATCAAGCTACATAGCTGTCTAAAACCCTACACCACCTCGACCTTTGTAAGCGAATAAAGCAAAATGAGGAAGAAATGGGTGTACACGCGACTGCAGCTGGCAAAGGAACCTGAGTGAAGAGACAGCAGGTCAGATGGGCGTCCGGGGCTTGATTTTTAGGCCGTTATTTGCACTTACGCAGGCAGGCCGGCCTTGTTTCGAAGCGAATTCTGTACGCACCCCGTGCGCGCGCACGCGTCAACAAATCAAGCCAAGGGATGCAATTTCTGCAAGCTCACCCTCTCCATCCGTTTGCGCCGGTGGCTCCGAGGCCCTAGAACAAACACATCATTTAAAAGGAACAAAACGTGCTCACGTAAAACTTGGCAGATGTCCGCTTTACTTAAAAAGGCCACTCTCAAAGCTACCAATTTACCCCAGCAGCTGCAACCAGAATAGCTACACCTCCACCTCCTGTCATGCTCACAACCTTCAGCTGCCCCAAAACATCTTCTGCTGTGTCAGCTGCTTATCATTTCTCATTTCGCATCTCATTAGTTATTCTCCTAGGCTGTCTCTTCCCTGACACAGTCAACTGCTCTTTTATAGGGTGCCATTCTCTCCACAAACTAACCTTCATCCGGCATCACACTGCTCGATGGGGAATTTCCTGAAGGGCCTGACTGCGCTGTGCCCTGGTACTAGGGAGGGGGGGCACAATTAGCGTAACTCCTTTGCACCAGCATTAATTAAATCTTGTAACCATTTCTCTGGTGCCGTGACAACTTGGAATAAATTTTTATTGACAAATGTGGGGTTTTTTTTAAATAGTCAGTCTCTTCCACGGCAGAGTCTTCCTCGTCCAGCCGAATGCAGAGCGTATCTTGGTCACTGCTCCTCCAAAGACAGCCGGCATCTTCCATCTTGGGCAGTATTGTACGACTCACAGTTTTTGCACTTCATGCCTAGGAGATGGAACTGCACTGTAGACCGGGCATTGCAGTCATTGCAAAGGATCTACACACACAGAAAAGAGAGAGAGAGAGGCTTTAGCCTCAGCAGGACACTCAACAATGTATTACAACCAAGCTTCTAGCGACCACAGAACTGGTTGCCATCAGAGGGCAAAGCAGAAAGTATCTTCCTTTTAAAGACAGCAGGGCTGGTTTAACTTTTCCATTTGTAACTACTCAGATCACACTGTATAATCACAGAGAATTTACTTTTAGTATGGCAAGGTGACTCCTTGCATAAGTCAGGGATAGACAGACTTTGGCTTCTTCTCTTGATGTGGAAAACCACCAGAGAAACCTTCAAGTGAAAATGAGAGCAGGTTAACAGCAGCTAGCAACATTAGCCAGCCTGCTGCGTGCGACAAGCAAGTGAGCGTTCTTCTCAAAATAGGCGGCAAAGAGATTTTTTCAGATATCCTGACTCCAAGAGTTGGTAAGATGGGTTGTCTAAACCCATAAGAGATGCAACTAAAGCAATAATGACCAGTGCCATTTAATTCAGTGTTACCTGCAAACGGCGACCAGTTTCACAGTTCTGAGTTATCACAACGAAACAGAAAGAAAACAGAAGAAATCTCTATGTGCTAGTCTTGCACAAATCAATAGCTGAATATTTTCGCTATTGGTCTGGAACATGAAGCTCCAAGCCGTTAAAAACCAAAAGTTCCTGCTTTTTGCTATGACAGCAGCTAACACTACTGGAGAAAGCAAGGTACTTCCAAACACCAGGCCATTTCTCTGCTGTGTGATACTACAACACTAAAAGGTTGTGGTTTTGGGGTTGGGGTTTTTTTGGAGCACAGGTGGGGTGCTTTTTTTCGTGTATATAAACCCAGTAGATGATTACTGTAAGCCTACACACGACATTTCTTCATCGTTCCCTAACCCTCAGGTTGACTGCTGATCCAGGGCGAGTTCCTAGTGCCCCCTACTGCCAGTAATGCCAAGGCACAGAAGTGCCAAGAACAGAGACACCGGTGCAAGTCTCATCTCTTACCTCCACCATCATGTTCTGATACTCTGTGGGCATAGGAGTCTGCGCTACTTCGTCATCCAGCTGACGCCAGTACCTTGTCATATCTAAAGCCGAGTGCATGCACAAAGGACACCTGTAACCTCTGGCAGAAAGGAAAAAAAAAGTCTGAATCAGAAAATGGAGTGGGGCCATGAAACCAGTCCACCCAAACGGACAGGTTTCATATCATACCGGTGAAAGAGAAACACCACGAATCAAGAAGTTCTTGCAAACAGAATTGGAAATTAAAAGCCCCTTATCCCTTTAAGAGTTGGCCTTAAGTTATTTAGTACAGGATTGGCATCATGATCTTTGCCTCTTGAAGTAATCTACTTGGACTGCAACAATATTAAGAGAAGAGATGTTCAGAAATACTTACTCCTTTAGCATGTCCTCGTAACATGTTCTGCAAAGAGAACACAACCAGAAGTTCAGTAAGAAGAATGCAATTACTGATTGGTAATACATTTGGACTGAACAAAGGAAAAGGCACACAGGTATCCCCAAACCAGAAGTTAAAAAATATCCTGAGTCCAAGCGAGAAGAAAGCTTCCCAGCAAAATCACCAGGCACCTAGGTAAAAATCCGGAGAGAAAGCACATCCGATTCCATTCTAAGGTCTTCTAACCCAACACGAGGGAACAGAGTCAACACTATGACAAGGATTGCGTGGTTCAAGTTTGCTGAAAAAATGGAGTGTGATGCATCACAAGGTAAGTTTAAGATGGACAGGAACTGAAGGAAGATTCGGTCTGGACAGACCTATGTCAAACATAGAAGCCATTCACTTAGCGCACAGAGACAACGAGGGGAAAAACAAGCGAGCCAACGGAGTAACAAAAACATGCGTCTGTAACACAAGACAGAAAGAAGAAAGAAAAATGGAAGGGAAACACGTGGTAATTATTCCTCCCAAGGCACCCAATGCTATATATCACATCACTTCAAAATCCCAATAGAGCCGGCAGTTTTTGTAGTGCAACAGAGCACTCCATTGTCTTGGGGGGCTGTCTTAAGGAAGGAATCTAAAACTTAACCGAAGAGCTGCCACCAACCTCTTAAAACCATTGTGCAACTGCTTTCTGCACCAAGGAGGGACTTCCCTACAGGATTCTTGAAATTTAAGTAGTAACAGAAGGAAATTCAGCATGGGAAAATTTAAAATAAACAGCACACAGGTCCTTCCACCACCGCCAAAATTTACTGCAGAAGGAAGACAATCTTTCTAAACAAAGTATTTCCTGATGAAACAGAGACTATCCCCTGCTGTGTGAGTCCCTTGGAAACCAGCTGTAAGCAGCTGATACAAACTAATCAGGCCTGTAGCGCCACCGAATAAACGCCACACGCAGTGCAGCAGCTATTCCCCCTTCTCAAGTATCTGCAATGCTTTACCTGTGAAGAAGGTGACCACACGGCAGAACGTGAGCTCCAACACGAGATGTGTGAATATCCTGTTTCAAGGCAAGTAACAGACAAGAGACAAGAAAATTAATTCAAACACGTCAAAAATACAGCCACACACAAATCCAAAAGATGAAAAGAAGTAGCTCACCTCCAAACATATCGGACAGTCCTGCCTGGAGACATTTTCAATACACTTTCCAAAGACACACACAAAAAAAAGTTATTATACTGCATGGATATCTGCATTTTTCTAAAATCTAAAATTCCTTCAGAAAAGTAAGAAAAGATGTATGAAACGTTACTGTTTGCATTTAGGTTTGAAGTTCTGAGAATTAACAGGTGGCTTAGCATATTAATAAAAAACATAAGTATACATAAGAAAAGAGCTTCCAGAACTCCCGCAGCAGCAGCAAGCGGCCTAGCTTTTCCTATACTGCAGCAGGAACAGAAGCTCTAACTTACACGCTGTCAGATCTGCAATCAACAGCTCCTTTTAAAAGAAGGGAAGGAGACCAAGAGATTTATTTCCTATAGCTTCAACTGCTAGAGAAGCCAGCCCTAAATGCTGTTAGGGCTGTGCAGCCCTAAGAAACAGCCTAAGTGCTGTTAGGTGCACTTAGAGAACC